TATCTGCTATCAAGGTTACAGTCGTAAAAATCCTAGTTAAAAATTTCTAAAGTGAAACGGGACCTCGGGCAAAATACAGCTAAATCACCTCAAATCTATACTTGCTATATGAATTTGAAAATACAAAAGCCTCTAATCGTCTAGGTTGTGAGATGCTCAACAGTGTATGTCCTATTATAAAATAGGATAACGTGTGATGCTTACATTCATCAACTTGATTGAATGGAGGAACACCTAGGACACTAATAATGCAAAGCCCTAGGTGTGTCAGAGAAGATTAACTAAATGGAAAGACTCCTCCATTCTCTCTGCTTTCTCACCACCATGATGTGGACTGTTTTTCTTTGACACATATTTTCCAATACAATGAACTGAAACTGTGAACAAAATAATTTTCTCCCTTAAGTTGTTTGGGTCATGTGTTTCATCATAATGATAAATATATAACTAACACACTTTGAAATGGTTTCAGTAGGGTGTTGTCACGTGCCATGGGTATTTGGCTTTCCTACTGCACTATTCAGCCACATTCCCTGCCACATAAATGAATTCCGAATTACTGGTCTCTAATATGACCCTCAACTTTTGGCAAGCCTCCCTTAAAATGGAGAAAAGTTTCCTGTCAACTCTGTTACACTTTTGGTTTGATTTTCAGCCTTCACCAAAATTTGACTTCTTTCTCTCCTTTTTGTTTCTTGGGGAAAGTGGATGGCCCTTGTTACACAACATCCCATATGAATTTTCCATTAGCAACTAACAGGAAATATGTGGACTTGGCAGGGCCAGAAAACAGGAATTGCATGATTTTGAAGTGAACATTCGCATATTGTAATATACATAATGAAATAACAGCTAAAGTGTGGCTAAAGCCATCTACCCAGGCTCCTGGATCAATCATTTTAGTCTATTACTTTTCTTTAAAAAATCAATAAGATCTGACACCAACAATGGTGAAAACACCAAATCATCAGGCATTCAATCTCACAAACAAGGCTCTGGAGTCTGGCCGTGTTTGGATAATAGTGTTCTATGATTTGTTGCCTATTAGAAAAACCACTTATACTTTTTAAGGAAACCACTAAAAATCTCTTTCTTTGTCAGAGAAGACCAATTTGTATGTGCAGTTCAATTTCATCTCACAAATAGAAATTTCTCCAAAGAATATTGAGCTAAGCCACCCAATTCTGTGGAGGTTATGGATTGAAGCCGGAGGTGACTGGTTTTCAAGTATTTCATTCCAGACATCTATAAGGACTCACATAACTCATTATGTTTCCTTCACCCACACACATGCACATCCATACTCATGTAGACACACAGATGAAGTGATCACAGGCCATGCAGAGACAAGAGAAAACAGTGAGCGATCTTTTATTGTTCATGTTTTATGTTAAAAATTAAAGTGCCTTAAAATCTATCCTAACTTGATTTCAGAAAACCATATAAGGCATGGAGCCAAGACAAGAATGCAGATACAATTATCTCCTTTGGCCAACAGTGGTTTTTTTCGAGGCATCTTTTTAGTAATTTAACTAAAATAATGGATACTATATATTTTCAATAAACTTGTGTTTATAGTTAAGTCTCTAAGCTTTCATTAACAGGTCCACCCAAACTCTCATATGTATTCTTCAGGTTTCAGAGAGGTTCTATAATTTTAGAATATTGATGTAGTTATATTAGAAATAATCATTCAGGGGCTGGATAGATGGCTCAGCAGTTAAAAGCACTGACTGCTCTTGCAGAGGACCCGGGTTCAAGTCCCAGCACCCACCAGGAGGCTATGAACCATCCTTAGCTCCAGTTCCAGGGGAATCCGAAGCCCTCTTCTGACCTCCATGGCATTGCATGACATGGGTGCACTCACATACATGCAGGCAATTCACCCATACACATAAAATAAAAATAATAAATAAAATGTTAAAAAGGAAATAATCATTCAGTTATCAATAATACTTTATATTATAGTACCTGTGGGTATGTAGCAAAAGTAAGGAAGGTCTCAAATTAATTTTTGTTAAGTATAGTTATAACAACTAATAATAAAGCTAATACATTTGGAAAAGATTCATGGCTGTCTGTTCCTATCAGTGAAATCAGTTCAACAATTATGTGAAAATAAAGCTCTTAAATGTTTTCTAAGATGCCTTTTTGAGAAAGAAAGGGAATGGAATTAAAGTTGATCCCCCCTTGATAATTTAGAAATCTTGTGCCTATAAATTTCATGAGTGCCGTGGAAAACAAAAACATGAAGAATCATTGATTTAGTTCCTTTTTTCAGTTTTTCAGATGAGAAATTGAGGCCAGAGATAGTAAATGACCTTTCTAAGGTCATAGTTGATTCCTGTGTCCTGGGCTCAACTATGACCAAAATTCAAGTACCTAAATCCACAGTTCTTTTCATTCTAACACTTTGGTACTTTGATCCCTCCAAATTGATTAGGTTGGCCAGTTGGCCCTTGTCCAATATTCTTTTTTTACATATAGTCAAAATATTTCAATAAAAAGATAAAAACCAGAAAGTGTGACTTAATTTTCATATTACTTCAAGGTCAATGAAACATCAAAATCTCAGCCATAAGGATCATTGGCTGTCTCTTGGGCCTCCAGAAGCTAAAGTCTTTATCTCAAATTCCCCATAGGGATCACAGTATCATTTAACATTGAATTTTTTCCTTCTCTGGCAAAGTCACTTTGTGACTGACCACATTTTACTCAAATCAAGCAGTTTCTCTTCCAACAAAATACATTTATGCCAGAGAGCACATCCAAGTCTTTCTCACCTTTCAATTTTCCATAGTTGGAAAAGTAGACTATAGGAATGAAGGGCTTCATTTTGCCAGTAGAATATGCTCTTCTGTTTTCTAGCTAGAAAGATGTTTAAGTGAAGCTAATTTTCACATCTTAGCTTAGCTTCTTAGTATTCAGTGATTTGGGCTTATGAAACCTCTATATTTATTTTTTCAAATGATGTAATTTTTCTGAAAGGCTTTGGCTCTAAGTAGACTGTAAATTGCTTTTTAAATCTTATTTTAGCCTTTGATTAGCATATAATATTTGGATATATTTACAAGATACAGTGTGATGTTTAGAGTAATATATATTGGGTAGAGATCAACTTGGGGTAATTAGCATATCCATCACCTTGACATTATTGATGGAAAAATCTATCCACAGTTCCCATTGTTGGATCCTTTCTATTATATGTGAGCTGAATAATGACAATGTTGTTTATA